CCTGGTAAACCTGTAATAGAAATGGCGCCGTGTCTGACTGATTATATGCCGCGGTTTATGTTTGTGTGCATTCTATTTATTAAATACGTTTTATTTTTAACACTTCCCGGTTTTTCTTTTTTTAGAAGCGTGCAGGACCTGTGTTGAGGGGCTTTGAGGCCCATTCACCCCAGCGGGTGTGCGCACTGAACAAGAACAATCAATGGATTCCCCCCTTCTAGGCTAAACAGTAGGGATGCACCGATAATGGTATCGGGGCCGCAAGTACTTACCCAAATGCTCCGATGCCTAGCCCGATACTTCCAGTATCAGGAAGCCGGGCAGTGAGTCATTACACGCTGCCCGGATTTCTGATTGGCTTGTGACAAGGGAGCATGGAGCCGGCTTCCCGGCCAATCAGGAAGCCGGGCGCCATGTAATGGCATGATTGACCTCATGACGAAGGAGCATGGAGACGGCTTCCCGGCCGATCAGGAAGCCGGGCGCCGCATCGTTACACAGCTTCTGGTTTCCTGATTGGCCAGAAAGCCGTCTCCATGCTTTCTCGTCACTTGCTAATCGGGAAGCCGGATGGCGAGTCATTACACGCCACTTGGCTTCCTTAATGGGACTTCTGGTATCGGTATTTGGTATCGGCGAGTACTGGAAAAAAAATATATCGGTGCTCGATACCAAAAAAACATAATCGGTGCATCCCTACTAAACAGTGTAGATGGAGGAATCTCCCCTGCTGGCTAATGTATTCCAAGAGCCGTGCCTGCTTATTAGATGCAGTCACTGTTCAGCTGACAATTTTTCTCCCAGGACTTTTCAATTGAATGTTGTCAAGCCCGGAGGTGCCGGCAGGGCCACCCACTGTTATATAGAATATCGGCCGATTGCTGTGAATGGGACGAAATTCTAACAGTATATGGCCAGGGTTGGGCAAACTTGTGGAACTACAAATCCCATGAGGCATTGCAAGATTCTCACAGCCACATGTGTGACTCCCAGACATGGATGCATCATGGGATTTGTAGTTTCACCACAGCTGGATGGCCGGAGTTTACCCGCCCCTGGCATAGAAGCTGTTGTCAGCTGTTTATTGTTCGGTGTCTCATGTTGCCTCAACTCTGCCGCCAATCTAAAAAGCCAAATCTGAAAAGAAGAGTCTATAAATACTTCCCTCTAGTGCTGCTGAACGCTGCTCTCCTGAGGAGGAGGAATTGCCCCCCGAAATCTGCTGGGAAATGGGTCTTCCTATGCCCCCCCCCGCAGTTCTCCGCAGTATTTTCTCCATGTGCTCTTCACATGTCTACAGGACTGTAAAATAGATCAACCTGCTGTATATATCTATGTCATGTATCTGATATATCTTATCAATGTGTGGATTTATAAAATAAAGACTTGTTCCTACTTATAAATGGTAATTACTCTATGTATGTATGTATGTATGTATATGGGGCCAGCTGTATTTTCTTATTGCATGTGTAGGGACTAGGGTTGCCACCCGTACGGGTTTCACCCGTACAACCCGGGTTTGGAATCACGTGCCCGGGTCTGTGGCCACCTCCCGCCCGGGCACATGATTCAAACATTACAATGCCGCATTATACCTGCATTTCTTGCGGCGGACGCCAGGTGGCGCTGTCTCCTGTTCCTCGACTCTCCCTCCCTCCTCTATTTCCTCCGCGGCTGTAGTGGGAGGAAGTGACATCAGGGAGAGAGGGAGCCGTGAGGGACGAATCTTCCTCCGGCAGCCAGCCAGCCAGCCAGCAGGGGTGGAGAGCAGCGCTTTGGGGCCGCCCTTCTCATCTCCTCAGCGACCTGTCATCTCACCTTTGAAGAAAAGCAGGTATTTATTACATTTTTATCAAATGCAATATGAATTGGAAGGGGGGGATCAGTATTGCACATTAAACATGCCCCCCCAAAAAATGTTTTGTGGGGGCATCTTTTATGTGCAATAGTACACATCAAGGATACAGGCAGGGGAACAAAACCTGACACAATTTCTTTATAGGTGACACAATAGGAAATGAAGGTCGGGGACACAGATGTTATGTGATATATTTTAATACACACAAAACAAATAAAACGTATGTCTGGTGTTCTACTTAAGGGCTTGTTTCCACCTGCCCGCACATCTACCGCAATGTCACGTGCCCGGAACGCGAGGGACCGCCTATATAAAGTCTCCCTGCGCTCTGGGACGGGGGCGTGGCAGTGCCATTCACGTCAATGGCACTGCAGACCCGCCCACAGTACGATCAGCCGCACGTAACTAAAATCAATGGCACTGCAGAAATGCCCCCCGCCCACAGTACGATCGGCCGCGAAGGAACGTGCGGTAATAAAATGCCCTGCATTCCAATGCGGTGGGATCCCAAAAAATCGTTCATGCATGATTTTTTGCGATTCCCTCTACACTGGAACGCAGGGGATTTTATTACCGCACGTTCCGCGGCCGATCGTACTGTGGGCGAGGGGCATTTCTGCAGTGCCATTGACTTGAATGGCACTGCCATGCCCCCTCCTACCCCAGAACGCAAGGAAACAATATATATGTGATCTCTTGTGTTCCAGGAATGGGACATTGCGGTAGACGTGCGGCTGGTGGAAACAGCTAATAAATGCAACTTAGTAAAATTAAAAAATTGCGGGCGGGGGATTTTTTGCCGCAGAGGCATGCAAAGTCTCCAGGGTTGCCACCCATCCGGGATTCACCTGGACAGTCCAGTGTTCTACCAACATTTGTTAGGGACCGCTTCCTGCTTTGCTCATTGGCTATATGTTACTGCTCTTCCTCACAGTGCATATGTATGAGTCGTCTGACCCCAAAACAATGCCCTCCCCGTGTGGCTGATTTCTTATCTCAGCAATTGTTGAAAGAGAAAAGGGAGCACCTGCAACGAGAGTTCCCTCTGCAATACACAGATCAGCCATAACAATATCACCACCCGTCTAATACTGAGTAGGTCCTCCTTTTCCTGACCCATCAAGTCAGGGACCCCACTAGACCTCTGAAGATATGCTGTGGTATCTGGCACCAAGATGTCAGTAGCAGATCCTTTATGTCCTGTAAGTTGTGAGGTGATTGGCCTTGGTTTTCCAGCACATACCACAGATGCTCCATTGGATTGAGATCTGGAGAGTTTGGTGGCCAAGTCAACATCTCAAACTCGTTGTGTTCCTCAAACCATTCTGGAACCGTTCCTGCAGTGTGGCCGGGCACATTATCCTGCTGAAAGAGGCCACTGCCATCAGGGAATACCGTTTCCATGAAGGGGTGTACTTGGGCAGCAACAATGTTTATGTCGGTGGTACGTGTCAAAGTGACATCCACATGACTGGCAGGACCGGGGGTTTCCAGCAGAACATTGGCCAAAGCATAACACTGCCTCCACCAGCTTATCTTCTTCCCATAGTACATCCTGGTGCCATCTCTTCCCCAGGTAAGTGACAGACCCGGCCATCCACATGATGTAAAAGAAAATGTGATTCATCAGACCAGCCACCTTCTTCCATTGCTCCGTGGTTCAGTTCTGATGCTCACGTGTCCATTGTAGACACTTTTGGCAGTGGATATGGGTCAGCCTAGTCACCCTGACCGATCTGCGGCTACGCAGCCCCATACACAACAAACTGCGATGCTCTGTGTGTCCAGACACCTTTCTATCAGAACCAACATGAATGTCTTCAGCAATTTGAGCTTTAGTAGCTCTTCTATTGGATTGGATTACATGGGCCAGACTTCCCTCCCTACGTGCACCAATGAGTCTTGGCTGCTCATGACCCTGTCGCCGGTTCACCAGTTTTCCTTCCTTGGACCACTTTTGGTCAGTCGTGACCACTGCAGACCGGGAACATCCCACAAGGGCTGCAGTTTTGGAGTTGCTCTGACCCAGTCCTCCCGTTTTTTTCTGCTTCCAACACATCAACATCAGGGACAAAATGTTCACTTGCTGCATATATCTCCCCCACTTCCAGGTGTCATTGTAATATATCCCCCCACTTCCAGATGTCATTGTAATATATCCCCCCACTTCCAGATGTCATTTTAACCAGATAATGAATGTTATTCACCTCTCAGTGGTCAGAATGTTATGGCTGATCGCTGTATCTTACAATACAAATACAGAAGAAAATGTTAGTTTAAAATTACTGTAAGTAAAACACTGCAGGTCACACTCTTTAAAATCCAGACCAGCTCAATAACTTTGGAGAGAAAAGGAAAATGCCAGCTCACCCTCAATCTGCCCTCTCCACCAATTCAGTTCGGGTGCTCCATGCACATCCAAATGCAGCCATAGAGAAGGCTTTTTACTAGGGATGCACTGATACCAATAATCGTATTCGGCGAGTACTTGTATTCGTCCAAATGCTCCGATACTTACTTCGGCTAAGGGGAGATTTCCTCTGAGCGGCACTGCCTAGAGGGAACATGGAGCTGTCTTCCCGGCCAATCAGGAAGGCTAGTAATAACTCGCTGCCCGGCTTCCTCATTGGCTGGGCAGTCGGCTCCATGCTGTTTGGCCGGCTCGATGATGATTGCCCGGGAAGCAGGCTTCCTGATCGGCATCGAGCCGGCCAAACAGCCGACTCAATGCTGGCCTTGGGGCAGCAGAGAGAGTAGATACGGACCTGCTCCTGGAATATATGACAGGAGTAACCCAGGAGGCTGCAGGAGCAGGGACATACAGCGGACGGAGAGCAGACATGACAGGCATCATTGGGGGCCTGGTCTCCTCAACCCAGAAGAGGCAGCCAGCTTCCAGGATCAAGATGGCGGCATGAACTGGGGCTTTGGCAGCGGAGCAGCAGAACAATGCTGGGCAGGTGAGTATATGAATTGGGGACAGATAAGAGGGGTTTAAAAAGGAAAAGGAGGTGGGGCGGGGGGGGGGGGGGATTAAGTTCCTCTTTAAAAAGACAATAAAAAACTAACATTTTTGAAGGTAAGCCCAGATGGACTGATAAATTCAGCTAGAGTCGCCCACTACACATCTCCTTCATTGCAATTAGATTTTAACACTAATAATTCTCTTCAAGGCACCTTTGACCTCTTTGTTCCTCAGGCTGTATATCAGAGGGTTTAGCATAGGAGTGACCGCGGTGTATAGTACAGAGAACACGAGGTCTTGCACCTCCAAGTGTTCCGAAGGAGGACTCATATACATACATACGCCTGTGCCATAAAAGATCAATAATACGGTCAGGTGGGACGTACAGGTGGAGAAGGCTTTTCTTCTACCTTGCGTTGACTTGATGCCCAGAACAGTTTGGACTATTTTAACGTAGGACGTCACACTCAGCAGAAAGGGGCAGAGTGCCAGCAGCAAGGTCTCTATGTAGAGGACGATGTAGAATCCCGTGTTGTTGCATGATATCTTCTCCAGGGCTTTAATGTCGCAGAAAAAATTCTGTATTACATTAGAACGGCAAAAATCGAACCGGTAGATTGAGAGGGTCATAAATACGGAATTGAGGGAGCCGGACGCCATGGTGCCCAGCAGGAGCAAGATAACTTTTTCCTTCTTCATGATATGGTGGTAGTGTAGAGGCCTACAGATGGCCACGTACCGATCGTAAGCCATACAAGACAGCAGGATGTCTTCTGTGCCCGCGGCAAACATAAAGAAGTACAGTTGTGTGAAACACTGATGGAACGTGATTGAGTTATTCCCAGTCACCAAGATGTCCATCAGTTTGAGAAGAGTGGAGGACGTAAAAACGAGGTCCACCAAGGACAAGTTACAGAGGAAAATGTACATAGGAATGTGTAATCGGACATCAAGAATCACCGCGGAGATGATGACTAGATTACCAAGCACGCCCGTGGTATAAATAAGGAAAAATACAGCAAAGAGAAGACTATAGTGCTCTGTAGAGTTTGCAAAAGCCAAAATCTGGAAGGTTCTGATGTATGTTCGGTTATCCATTGGATCGGGTTTTTATTTTTAATCTGTAAAACAGTAAAAAATCCATTGAGTGTGAGAGCCACTGTACGAAAATGACATGAACTCAAAATATAACATGGTGTGAAAATTGGGGGGTCGCCATTTTACATCTCTCTTTCTATGCCAGCCTTCAGTCTGTCATGGAGGTCCAGTGGAGATGGTTTACAATTGCTCACGCCAATTTGCCAGGGCAGCACTACCTCGTGGACACCTGAATGGACAAGCCGGTACATTTATGAAGCTCTAGTTGACTAATGACACAAGGGCCGTAACTACAGATCATGGTGCCCCATAGCAAAAAATGTGATGGGGGGTCCCCCTGATGACCTCCCTCTGAACTGTGAGTAATGATGCCGAGATCCCAAAGACTCCTCTTCGTCCTTGTCGTCTCTACACTGTAGACTTTACAGGGGATTAGAGTTAATGACACAGTACTGTATTATCACATGTTCTACGTTTAATTTGCCTCAACAACCTAATGGGGCCCCCTTCCTTCGCATGAGCTGCTATGGCTATAGTTACACCACTGAATGACACTAATCTGACATATCATTGGAAAACACCATATCAATGACAGTGGATCCGTCTTTGGCTTCCAAAGATCTGCCAGCTACGTAGTGGTGGGTGACGTTTCTCAATGACTTTAGTCACTGACCTGGAATAGATTGGCAGGTCAACTGTTATGACCTCATCCTGACGCTCCTGATTTACATGGTAGCATTGGGCCACAGACTCCACAAGTATTTAAACTACTTGCCGTGACAGGATCGAGAAGTGAGCGAACGCCGTTATGTGTTCGCTCACTTACCGATCTACTGAGCTGACCTGTGACAGTTTCATTGTGACAGGTCGGCTCAAACTATGAGGACGAGTGAAAAGCACTCACCTCATAGTTCTCCTTTAATGTCTGCCGCGGAAAAGATACCTGGGAGCTCTCCCTCCTCCTGTGGTGGTGCAGTACAGAATCTTTAGCCCTCATTCACACTGTAATCGGCCAGCACGTAGAGCTCCGTACGCCCCCCTATGCTCACGCTTGCACGTTCGTAGGGGTGCGGGTGAGCGTACTTGTACGCTGACAGGATGGATCCTGTCTGCGTCCGAGCGAGAAAACACTCACCCCTACGGACCTGTACTTCAGGTGAGCGTAGGGTGGCGTACGGCCGCGTAGTCCCATAGAGAAGGACGGGGGCTGCGTACTAATGACACGCAGCACCTGTCCTTCCCGGGAGCTGCCCGATACGGCCGTGCACGCAGCACGGAGCTGTTTCTCGTGTGAATGAGGGCTTATTTGTCTCACATTTTCTCTCTTTTCTTTCTCTTTCACCCTTTTTTCTCCTCTCTCCTTTTACTTATCTTCATCGTGTTCCTTCTTGTTTATATCTCTATTTTTATGCTGTTTGAGTGTCTGATTTAAAACTTTAGGCACTGCTATTGCCTTCAGCAAGCTAACGTTCATATGCACACTCTATTTTACATGTGAATAGTTATTGGCAAATGCACCTTATAGAACATTATGTTGTTTTATTTGGTTATGCTCTTTAATGTGCTTTTGTTTTTCTTGTTGAAATGTTTAATAAAAAAATAATTATAAAAAAAATAAATTACTGGGTTTTCCCTATCGTGTCAGGTTGCTAAAAAACAAACAAAAAGGAGAACTATGGGGTCAGGGCTTTTCCCCATAGTTCTCCCCAGGGTCACAGGAGGATATATACTAGCGTCCTCCCATGACCCAAAGCTCAGTATATAGCGAGCTACAGCTTGCGATATACTGAGACCGCCGCAGACGGGACGGATCCCGACAATACTGTCTGGATCCACCCAGCTGCGTGATTGACAGCTGGCTCTGCTTATCTAGAGGCAGAGCCAGCTGTGCCCGCCCCCTCCCCCGTCTTTTCCTCCAGTCAGCGCTGGAGAATCAGAGAGGGGAGGGGGGGATCCCTGCAAGGAGCTGTGAGTGACAGTCACGGCTCTCTGCAGGGACATGATCGAGAAGTGAGCGAGCGACGGTATGACGGTAGGGTCACGGAAGGACTTATACTAGCGTCCTCCTGTGACCAAAAGCTCAGTATATAGCGAGCTACAGCTCTCTGTATACTGAGAGCGCTGCAGCCGACAATTCTGTCTGGATTCGCCCAGCTACGTGAGTGACAGCTGGCTCTGCCTATCTAGAGGCAGAGCCAGCTGTACCCGCCCCCTCCCCCGTCCGTTCCGCCAGTCAGCGCTGGAGGATCGGAGTGGGGAGGGGGGAATCCCTGCAGGGAGCTGTGAGTGACAGTCACAGCTCTCTGCAGGGATAGATCGAGAAGTGAGCGAGCGACGTTATGTGTTCTCTCACTTCCCGGTCTATTGAGCCGACCTGTGACAGTTTCATTGTCGAACGTCGGCTAGAACTATGAGGCTGAGTGATTTTCACTCACCTCATAGTTCTCCTTTAAGCAAAAAAATTCTAAGATTCAAATTCACTTCTAACTTTTTAGAAAATGTTCTAAGGTTTAAAAAAAAATAAAAAATAAGATTTTAGTTTACTTCTAACTTTAAAAAAAGTCTAAGATTTAAAAAAAAAAACTTCTAACACTTATTTTTTAATCTTCTCACATTTAAACAAAAATATTGAATATTTAAATGAACTTCTAATTTAAAAAATAAAACGTTCTGAAACTTCAAACAAAATCTAAAATTTAAATTAAGTTTTAGATCAGTCCTGAGGGATACCAC